ATAATATGCCTATGCATGTTCGTCAGTAAGTGTCTGTCTTCATAAATATGTGTATAGTGTTACCAAAGTGTTAGCGTTTTTGTGTGATATACAAAGAAAAGTATCTGGTTTGTAAAACCTTTGCATTTATCATACCGTCCATATGCACTGTTTTCCGTTGACAGATACGGCAATTATAAACATCCCTTTCAAATGGTTGAACGATAATCATTTAATCTATTTTCAGTATGATTTTGATTTTTGGAATAGTAGTCACTTTACATTGGCTCCCGTTTGCAAACATGTTTAAAAATGTAGTGTGAATCATTGTGAGTTATCCTGCTTTGCCACAATGTCTCTGAGATAAGACACAGAATATGCATTAAGTGTGTGAGAGGAGACGGTGCAATGTTATCTGAGCTGTTTTCTTATCAGAGAGATTTATAGTTTTACCCAGGGCATCTGTTCTGGGTGATGTGATCCACAGATGTTTTAGCTGGGCAGAGTAGCTCTCATAGGGAATTACAGAGAACCTGTAGCATACATATGGGTGTTTTAGCAACATGGTTTATAAAAAGAAAGTGGGCTTCATGTTCTTGGTTCATAGCACTAATATTTTGGTCATGCCAGTTCTGGATCATGTTTGGTCAATAATTAGCATTTGACATCAAATCAAATTGAAGTAAAACTGTCACAAAAATAATTTGAGCTGGAGAGCCGGCCTGAGCAAAATGTCTCTTTATCTATGTTTTTGTTACACAACTATAGGGTTCAATGTTAGTGGAAGCAATATTGTCACAGTCATACCACAGCATAAAGGCTGGGGTGTTAGGGTAGCATGCACTATTTAGTACGACTGTTTGTGCATTTATTTTGCTGCTAAGTCTCAGGTCTGTTTAAAACATTGAATAAATGGGCTTGGCTAATGCACACAAAAACCAAAGAAGGCCAAAAAATCCTGCTGAGGTCAGTCTGCCAGAGAAAATTATAGTAATGAAAAAATACTATCGTACAATAATAGAATGGGTGGGTCCAATCTACTTCAGGGAATATAAAAACACAAATAAAAACAAATACATTTACTAAAAAAAAAGCAAACTAAATGTAGAAAACTAATGAATGCATGGGAAGATAAAGCAGACTCCACATTGGCAGGCAAACGTTTGAAGCAGGAAACCTTGTGGTGACATTCTAATCACCACACCATCATCTGCTGTCCAGGCTCTGACTTTGGAAAACTTTACTTGTTCTTGGGATTCAAAACTGATCAAAAGATTGCCCTGTCCATGGTGCTAATGTTCGCAGTTTGAAAATGATAAAGAGATTTGCACATGACTAATGCATTTTTCCCCATATTTTGTTTAGGCTTCTTTTCAGGTTGGACCCAGGAAAACAGAGGGAAGTTAAACTGGGTAAAAGGTTTATTTATAAAACTATGACTTGGTGGTGTAATGGAAAAAAAGCTAAAAGTGGTCTGGGAGTTTTCTCCAAAGGGGATGACTCAGGTCTCTGGGAGAGGAAAGCATGATTAGGCTGGTGGTGTGAATTCCAAATGTGATTATTCTTTGACAGGAGTTGATGGACTTGACATTCCAGATGTTAATGACAGTGGCTATAGCAACAGCAGTGCAGAGTGGGTTCTTCTTTGGACAGCTCAGAGCGGTCCTCCTGTCAGCTTGAGATGTAGTTGTAGATGTAGTTTCCCCAAAAAATGCAGAGAAAATGTAAGTTTCTTCACCTCAACAAAGAAAACATTGATTTAATTCAAACATGAACTTATGGCCAATTTTGAACCTCATAGTTACAAGCCATAGGTTGAATAATCTACCAGGTCCATGAGCATACAGGAAACTGCAAGGAAGTTAAACAAAAGGAAAAAAGAGAAAGAAAAAAACTTAGACCCTGACATTTTAGTTGAAGAGCTTTAAAAGGTACAGGTTTTTATTAATGGTGGCTCTCATTAATCTGCAACAAAACAAGACGGTGAACTTGTGGACACAGTATGGTAGTGATACGATTACATTGGAACGGAATCCAGGTTTTATAAATTTCATTCATTAAAACTGGGGTTTTCCTACAATAACATGTAAAAAGCCTGAAGTCACAAATCAAAGTAAATTAGCTTCACATGGTTGCCCTGTAGCTCATAATACTATGTTGTACAACTGAAACTGATGAGCAATTAGGCACAGAATGAAACAGAGATGAATGCATGAAACCAGTCCACTTTCTTTATTGGTATTACTTGAATATTTCATGACTGTCCCATTTTGTCCTCTCACAGAAAATGTCACCGCTGATGTAATTGGCTGAATGGTGGGTCAATCTTAAGCTGACAAAGACAACCACTGATTTTCATTAGTGTAAATTGAATTTCATTCATTTACTTACTTTCTGGTTCACGGCAAGTGCCCCAAGTGGGCAGAAACGTTCAAGTGGACGGGTGAAAAAAACATGAAAATTACATTTACTTTAGCTGGAAAGCATTCAGATGTCAACTGATACTATAGTTAATGTATGACGGGTGTTTGAAAGCTTATATCATGCAAATATGATGTTTCCTCAAATAATACATGCTGTCTAATTAGATATTATGAGGGATTTAAGGGCCAAATTAATTTAGCTATTGCACAGAAATATCTACAGAGTGTAATGTTATTAATAGTCCATGTTTGTAAAGACTTTTCCATTACTTGTGGTTCCACAGAAAACAACAAAAATGGTTGACAAAAAATTCCCAATATCTAACTTAAGAAACAGACAAAGCGATCTGAAAAAGGCCATTTTACCTCACCAACCTTTGGCCAGACCAGCCAGGCTTTGTGGTATTCAGTGTCCACAGATCCAAATCTTCAGGGCTGGACACAAAGTGGAAGGGCCCCTGGGTTCATGTCAAGTTAATCATGGTAGCCAAACGTAATTGGATTGACTTAAGCCCCCACAGGCATAGTATTAGAAAATTCTAATCAGTGTCACTGGTAGAAAGACAAGGGGGTGCTTTGCCATCGCAGCCAATTAGAGTTAGCAATTCCAATAAGAAACATCCATTCAAAATGCAGAAAAATACCCTCTTTCAGTCTTTACTATGTGAAGTTCTTTATTCCACAATGTCTTAGGACATCTTTGGAGATAATCTTTATTCCACTGGAAAAATAAGATGTACATCTTCCTCATCTTAAAAATTAGATTGAAAAGGTATATCAGTGCGATCATATGTACAACTTGCAACTTACCTTTAAACATTAAAGAGAAAGGTTTACCATTACTGTATGCATGCATGCATGAGTGATATCTGCTATGATAAATGATTTTGGTGAGCTTGGTATCTAACTTAAGAACTTCAGAGACCCAAATAATTGAATGAATCCATCTACAAGTTTTGGTCAGTATCAGTAAGTCTGGGTTATATCATATTACATTTTTTTAATCTATGTAAATCCTGTAGATATCTTAACCAATGTCTTTCTATTTAATGTTAGAGCAATTTATATTACATAAAGTACTTTCTGGGAAGTGATTTACAAAATTATTATCCAAAGTAATTAATGTAAAAGGACTGACAATGAGATAATGGTCACTAAAATGTCTGTAAGGGAACAAATAAGGCATTTCATGGTAAAGTATTGAGGTGCTGCCATCTAGTGAGTGACAACCATAAGTGCAAGTTCTCTAAGGCATATCAACATCTCATCTTGGACTAAACATTACAAATAAATAAATTGAGGGGAAAAGAGAAGAAAAAAAATGAGAGAAAAGGTAGCAAAAATAAAATGTTGTTGTAATGTGAATTTTAAGTCAACTAGTCAGAGCAAAAGTGTTTAAACTTATATACTTGCCTACAGTCATGATTTGACTGGGATCTTTACTCTCAACCAATGTACTCCTATTTTCAATTATTCACAAACTCTGCTGGACCATTTTCTGAAATGTAGAAGTCGATGCGTTCAACGGCACCTAACTATGCCTTAATCCTTAGTTCTTGCCTTTCTGGAGATGGTCTAACCCCTTTGGGCCTCTTCTTTCCTGGAACCAGTCCCTCCTGCCCACACGCCTCTTTACTGGACTAAGTACAACCTTACATGGTGAATGACGGCTGTCTGTGGTTTCTCTTATATTTTGCTAGATCTTCCAGCTAAAAAAACATAACAGTTTGCACGTATAGATTTAACCCTTTCATGCACAACAGTCACTACAGTCACAAAAGTCAGTTTAAAAGTAAATCAATTTAACAGTAGGCTCTTTTGTTGTCTTCTGTGCCTCAATCAAAAGTTAATTACATCTTAGCTGTTTGGTTTATCCCCAAATATTGCATCTGAGCTCTTATAGCGCATATCTTTAAATAGAAAATAGCACTTTATACAGAAATGTTAAGATGTAAAGCCTCTTTAACCCAAACAAAGAAAAAGCAAGATCTTTAACTCCGAAATAATCTCTCTGTCAGCGAGTGTCATTTGTATGCTTTTTTGGTAATATACCAGCCTCTGCTTTTGGACATAGAATGGTAAACTTTATTCTCTTGTAAAGTAATTTAATTCACTGCTGAGCTTTCCCTTTTAGCTGCGACAGCTGGGGACCATCAATTAGGGTTAATTACCACACACTTGCTGTCTGAATAGAACCTGGATTAGAAGATTGTGATAAAATCCAATTGTTTAGCTATAAACATGAAGGAAGCCCCTGTGTTTCTTCTTATTAGATTCAACTTTCTTAGTTATCCCCTCTGTCATTTTCTTTCTCTTCCTCCATTTAAGGAACATTGATTATTTTCCAACTGCCACGTTGCTGTCTGTGTGTTTTGGGAAAGGCGAGCATGCACAGTGGAATGTTTGTGTGACCCTTGAACGGACAAGGACCACTATGTTGGCTGTCATAATGACATACGGAGAGCAGGAGGGGGTCAAATTCTGCATCATTCCGCCACAACAATACTAACTCTTCAGTGCTTTGTGGGTATGTGGATGTCCTAAATGCACCCCAGATACTTCCATAGCCTCTCAGTTCAAGCAAATAGCCCAGGAGAGGCAGGCTTGTGGGCGGGGAGTATGATCATGCCCTCCAGAGGAAGTGAGCGCAGTGTAGTGGAATGTAGTTGCCATTAGTGGGAGTTGAACTGAGGCTGGCTAACCGCTAGCCTGCTAAATTGAGTTTGAGCTGGAGACGCAGTGGGGAGTGATGAAAACATGCCGCACTTCACAGTTGTTCCAGTGAAGGATCAAACTCAGTCCAGCTACGACAGTCTAGAGGGGATTAACTGGGTTGATTACAGAGACACTGGACAGGACTGTCTGGACCATCAAGATACTGTTAGATCTGATGGTAAGTGTCACAATTTTTGCATGGCATTATCTCTTAGCAAGGACACAAAAGTGACTTTTAGAGATTTTGCTGTTGACAAAGTTAGTTGTTAAAGTGATACTTCATGAGCTGGGCCCAACATCAAGAGTTCTTTTGAATAAGGAGTTATGGACACTGGTTGAATGGTTACCATGGCAATTTTCCAGAACCAGAACATGTATTTTCGTGTCAGTTTATATCTGACAACTGACTTTAGGTAAAGTTGTGAAGAGATATATATTTTTTTCTTTTTTCCTGGAGTTTCTTTTCCCTCATTGGGATGTTTCTAAACCTAAACTCGGGGATACAAGAGTAACAAAAGGAAAGCAATATAGGACATGAGAACTGTGGGGGGAAGACATAATGGGGGTTGGGTTGTGTAAGAAAGGCTGGTGCTGCCGCCACAAGAGAAGGCCTGGGCTGGTTCTTCACACAAAAGATGGAGCGTTCTTTGTGCAGGGGAGGATTTCCTTTCATAGAGATCGGCTGTTCTCTACACTGAGGCAAATTTTCCCCTCAGCTCTGCCTCGACGTGCCTTAACTGTCATTCATTTGTTTTTACACTGAAGCAACTTAGAGGGATATGTCTGTAACAGAGAGGAAAGCAGAGCTGAGAAGGTGAGATTAACACTTTCTGTGAATGCAGTGGGTTCTAAAAAAGATTCAGTGACTAGAAGTTTTGTTCCTCTCTTGAAATAAAACAAGCATGTGGGTGTGAACTTCAAATTAGAGACCCACTCTTTACCATAACTCTGAAGCTGGGCTGGGCACAAACCCACACAGTGACTTATTGAATATTGTCATAGTAGATCACTCAGTGACTGAAGTCCTCACCACCAAGAAAGTAAATATCTGAGTTAAAAGCTGAGGAATGACCCCAACTGTTTGAGTTTTTAACATTTCATTGAATGTCTGTGCATGTATTAATGCATCAGTTTGTTGGTAAAAAATATCATAGTGTTGAGATGAACCATAATTAAGTGAGCAAAGGGCTCACATTTTTGAAAAATAATAAGACAATAACATCCCAGCACATGTTGCTGCTTGTTTGTATTTTCCTGGAATGCATAAGAATCAACCACCCACTGGTGTAGCAGAAATGAAAACTAAAATATTACTAAATCTCTTAACAATTCGCGATTTATATGTTGTCAGTGCAGAACACACATAATTGTTGATGATGTAGAAGAAAGGCGGATGTCCTGAAATAAACCACAGGATTCTTCCTGTGGCTGTTTAACCCTGTCTTCCTAATGCCCTAATCCCCCCTAACTCACCCGAGGAGTGCTTCCTGAAGTGCGAGAACAATAACCAATAAACCAATAAAGAATGACCATAAAGTGAAGAGGAGAGGATGCATAAGAGGACTAAGGAGATGATATTGCCCTTCATGAGGACTTGGAGAATAGGGCACACAGCATCTTACCATTAAGCAAAAGCCTTAAAGACTTATGACAAATAGAATAGCTGTAAGCATTGCTATATTTTTCAGGTATTTTAGTCAACTAATTCTCATAATCTTTGGCACCAATTGTCCAACATAAGTTTTCCTTGTAGTTATACAGGACTATGGTCACTGTGGTTAAAAGGGTTTAAAATTAGATCCACATAAAGAATGATTTCATCATGGGAGTGGTGGGTTTGGCTAGTTTATTTGCTGAGTCTCTCCACCATAGTGTGACGTGTGATGCATGGAGAAAGTGACACAGTGCAGACTCTGTTCCATGTGAAGTCGGTTCAGTCCACATAGGGCAGGACCAAAATTGCTCTGACTGTAGTACTGTGCTCCAGACACTGAAATAGCCCTAACATGTGTTCCTACACACGCAAATGTGTTGCCAAAGCTTCATGCTTAGAGCATGGTACCCCATTTTAAAAAATATCTCTCTGTTAGTAAAGCTGCAGATAAGTTGATATCCAAAAGAAAAGATTAGAGTTAAAAACATGTTTCTGCATTTTACTCCAGATGTGTGTCTTTCTTAGGTTTGGGTTAAAATAAGACAGAAAAAACCTAGACAAGTTCAGCATGCTTTAGGAGAAAAATGAAGTTCTTTGGTACCTTTTGTGAAAGTTGCTCACAAAGTCTGTTGGTATAGGGTTAAGGATTGTAACAATCAAGCACTTTCTTAAGCTCATGATTCAGTAAGAGAACAAAACTCAGACGTAGTTTCTGTGGTTAATTCCAGAAATCGCTCAATATGGTTACCCATAACAGGCTATACCAACTCTTGTTTGACTTCAAATGTAAAATAGAGAATGAGTATCACGAGAAGTCACATTTAATTTGAGGCGTAATGAAAACACTCAGTTAAGGATTCAATTACCACAAGCTTTTAATAAATTGTCATCATCTGCTAAGCAAAAAGAGGATATTAATGCACATCATATCTGTCTTTCATAGACTACCTTGAATTGAACATCAAGGTACTTCCTGAAAGTTTAGCCATACCTTTTACCCTAAAACTGAATATTGCTTCCCTCTCTCATGCTTTTTGCCCTCATTTTCTGTATAAAACCTGAACAAAGTAACTAAAAATCCGACATTGACTTATATGCAGAAAATTCTTGGTAGATTGAGCTATAATGTGGACTTTAGATGTTAGTGATGCAATACATAATATGTTTGCGCTTGCCTGTAGTGGAGGAAAGCGATTGTCAGTGCCAGATTACAAGTTAAAACGTGTTGGCCGTCTTACAAAAATCCACCTCTGACAAAAAAAACTATAACTTTATCACTCACAAGAAAGTCAGATATTTAGATTTGTATTGATCCCTGAATCAAATGCGTCATTGTGTACCTTTTATACACTGGTTCTTCTCAGATGAATGCTGATTCCTTTTTTTTATTGTTGCAGTGGTAATTGTTGTTGAAGTAGTCAACAACAAGGTGTCACCAGAGATTGCAGAATTGTTAACTATACGGACTAGATGAGTGTAAGAAACAACTGCGAAATTTGAACACTGCTACCAGTTGTTTTTGGAGAACAGGGTTAGTCTTTCTGTCATGCAGACTGGCGCGCTGCCTATTTATCTGTGGACAGGGTACTACAAATTCTTACACATTCAGACTGAGTACTACCCTCAACATCTTTTATGCTTAAATATTACGTGTATTGTGCATAGATATATGACTTATAATCATGGGTGTCATCTGGACTATCGTTTGCATGTTTGTTCTGTGCATTCTCTTGAAAGGGTTAACATTACAAGTGGATCAACTCAAACAACTCTCACTCTCCACTCACACAGCTTAATGCAGGCATAAAAACGATGCAAAAAGGATTACTTTGGTGCATTTCTGTTTTGGTTTGCTGTTTCTGATTTTGCAAGTTCAGACATTTTTAACTGATCAAACTAAGAGAAAAAAGTAAGTCCTACACTTGTCTTGTGCCTGATCAAATAAAGGCACAAGACACAAGTGCTACTTGGAGAGTCATTAGAGGATACCTTCAAGCACAGTGACAGCAGTGTGCTGCTGTAATATAAACTAGATCATTGCATCTGTCCTTATCGAGTTTCATCTTGCATGATGCACAATACTTTTGAAAAATATGTATTGGTGTTAGTCAAGCACTCAGTTCTGTGGTGTTCCTTTCTCAGTTCTAGGATGCTGTTTGTGACACTGACACAAGTAAAACCAGCTGCAGAGCAAACATGCAACTCTAACTTAGGCTACCACAGCCACACAAGTTTCTTCACTGTAGGTTTGTTTATCCATTAGGTCAACATGTACTGACATCTTCATTTACTCCAGATCCTGTCGTACAGTACTATGCACCCCTCCCCGCTCACCTTTACCCCCCGAGGTAATCCGACTGAGCTGCCATCTTCTCCCCATCATTAGCGCACATCAAAGTTAATATGTTTTGCTGCAAGGCTCAGCAGGTTAGTGTTCCTCAGCTCTTTTCAGATTCCACTCAGCATGAAACATAACCATTACAGCTAAAGTTGGCTGAGTGCTGTAACAGAGTTGTGGTGGTTCTTGCCAAGGGCCAAGGCAGAGAAAAATGCTACATCAATTCAAAATTAGTTTTACATAGAAGGGGATATGTTTTGAACAGTGAATACTGTTTAATTTTTTTCACGCTTATGAGTAATAATTCAGTGCAGAATGTTTGAGATTTTGATAGTAGCTGACATAGCTGAATAAGTCATGAAAGAGTCTATCTAAGTTTGTAGACAGCTGTGTGAGAGCCTCTGAGAATGGGCAGATTAAATTTAGAGGTCTAAAGATGTCTACTGACAACATACGGTGGAATAAACAACACACATTCACTCTTTTAACCATTTGGGCTGATGCCGTTAAACTGTTGTGTAATGTGTGCTCAACCAAGAGGCTTAGTCACATTAAATGTTTATTAAATAGGAAGTTAAGAAAAAAAGAAGCTTTTCCAAAATTCAGGGAGCTAATGAACAGGGGTTTTGTTTTCCAATCTGCTTTAAACTTCTTAATACTTGACTGTTTTTGCCGGTTTTTATCTTTTCTACTTTTTCAGACATGTGCAGTTTTAATCAAAGTGAAATATCTTGCAGATTTGTCATAATGATGTTTCATGGACAGTCTTCACTTAGTTTTTGCTTCCTTTTTTGGTATGTTTAGCTATCATGAGCTGCAAAATCAATCCTGAAAATATGGGCCTTTTACTAAAACGTACCAAAACTTGATAGTGTTATCTTTAAAGCCTTCTCTTCACAGGCTGTACTATCAGTCTTAAATCCCAATGCATTTGGTGAAATTCAAATGCCCCCGAGCGGCCCTAACTCATGAGAGGAGTTAATTAACACACAGCTTGCAGATTATATTACATGCATAGTGTCCATTTATGTATAACATTCAGACAGACCAAGTTTGTGCTCCTAACTGTGGTGCAGTCATTTAAAATTTTTATTTTAGATCTTAAATATTTCTTACTTAAAGATGACATTCTATCATCTTAGACAGAGCTCTGCAAATGTGTCAGTTTTTTGCCCTCCAGCTGTGTTTTTGCCTGATTTGTGAGCGCACCCATGACGTGTCCGAGCATGTTGCTGTAAAGACCGCTGTTCTCTGCACACAGTAAGAGTCTTATGTGCCTTCATAACAGGCTTGTTAATGTTGGATTTTCAATTTGACATTTAATGTGAGGTTATTTACTAGAGACCCCTGCTGTTTCCTAAACCCTGGCAGTCATGTACAATAAAACAACATGTTTTGGGACAGCACTTACTAAACAGGAGACCTAATTCGCTTAATAGTAAAACAGTTAAAATTGTCCTACTATTATTTTGTTCTCAATGATTTAATCCATTCACAGACAAAGCCCGTGCCTTTCTCCACTGTCAAATTGTGTCCATTGTCATTACATTAAACCAACTCTAGAGGACAGTCTTGAGACTCAGTTGGACTCCGTTCATGTGTTGCTAAAAACACATGAACTGTTATTTACCTACCATGCTTTGATTTTTGTATATTCAAGATGATAATACAAGGCACCAAAATATAACATAAATAATGAACTGTACCATCAAGACATGCCTACAATTCAGGTTTGAGTGGATTTCCAGGAGGTGAATTTAATTGTTATTTTTGCTCTAATAGCTTCTCCAAATATATGCACACACAACCCTACATGTGCATGTGTTTTAGTGTGTGCATGGCTGTGAATTACCACAGTTTATTCAATTCACCACCTCCCACCCCCCTCTCAATACACCATGTGCTAGATCAGGCCCCTGAATGAGTGCTCACCCTGGGTGACCGAGTGTCCTGGATAGTAATCGACCATTCCCCAAGCCAGAGCACAGACTTTACTCTTTTGATGAGAGCACTGAGCACATAGCTATGCTTCCTCACAGCATTATTGTCAGCAATGAGACACAGAATGCAGGTGAGTGAGGACCTGTGATGAAGGTCAGTCAGCACAGTTGAGAACTATCTTTTCTGTTTTATGCCCACTTGGTAAGTTGACCAGGCTTGACTAATTTGTGCTTCAAGATGCGAATGTTGTTGGAGTTTACATGCTCTAATAACTCTAGGTTGAGTCATTTGTAGGGAAATTAAGCAAGCGCATGCCTTTGAAAGTGTGTGCATGTATGTGTATGATAAGACTTGTGGTGCTACTTTGCTTACTATAATTGCACAGCGCTTATCTTTATTTGATGCTTTCTTTAGAAAAATGGAAGTTAATTCTAATTTAATGCTTGTTTATCACCTGGTCTTTTTGGTTGTGACCTTTATCTGTCTTTTCATGCATGAATTGCGTTTCTGAAGTGAACTGCTCCATGAACATAATTAAGCTCTTTCAATCAAAATAAGAATGGCAGTTAAAAGCTAGCCAGAAAAAAGGGAAACTTTTATTTTTCTTATCAGTGACTGTCCTGGCATTTGTGTTGTATTATTCATTTATTTACTTTGTCTTCTTTCAAAGGCCGATTGTATCTCTGTACTGCCACATATTTCAAAGTCATTCAGATAAAGCTTTATAATTTGCTCAAATGAAACATTTTCTTGCTGTCTCGAGATTACAAAACAGAGTTGTGATTTGCATTTTCAAAATATTGTTGCTTTGTTTTATGTTTGCAGTTTAGCAGATGTTTATACAAACCAATAAACAGAATAATACACTTTTTTATTGTAAATTAGATTTAAAATGCTTAGAGGGTTTTATCAGTGTTCTCTCAATAAAAAAATAAATAGCCGAACTGTACTTACCAAGTTACATACAGCCTATTAAACCATGCGATGTAAAGTATTTACTTTTTATTTTTCCATAGAAGTAGGTTTCATGGTTAGAACATCAAACAATGTTGTTATTTACTTTCCTCCCTCCTTATTCCTCATGGTAACAGGACATGGGAATCATAAAGAAGACAGCCCTTTTCTCTGCACTGCTGATTCTCCAAGCAGGAAGAATGACTTCTATGACCGGAACCTGGCTTTGTTTGAGGTCTGTAATCATTACTTTCTGATTTTTCATCATATGATGAGCTACAAATAAACTAAAAAACACCTTCACCTCCATTCTTTTACCAGGAAGAGCTGGACATCAGGCCAAAGGTTTCTTCTCTGCTCAGCCGCTTGGTTAATTACACCAGCATCACTCAGGGGGCCAAGGAGCACGAAGAGGAGGAGAGCAATGTGGCGTCACGTAGGAAGACCCCCAAGGTCAGTAGTTATGGAACAGCAGGGGAGCAATGTATCTCTCTTTTCAAAATGCCCATATTCATTCTCTTGAGATTTTGTAACTTTACACTACAGTGCTTGGTCCCAACCTGCCTGCTCATGCATGTTATTAGTGCTTGTTGATAGATTGTGTATGACTTTGGACACTCTGCTGTTAGACTGTGCCCATGCAAGACCAGGATACATGCAGAGTGCTGATAACATGATTGAATGACCTTTAAAAAGTACATCAATCAATACTAACGACCACTACACTTGTTTCCTGAAATGTCATGCTCAGTAAGCCCCACTATGTTTTCTCTTGTTTCTCTATTCTACTCTCTTTCTCTTTCTGTCTCTGTATTTTGTTTTTTTCAGTCACCCAACATGGGCACTCTGATGGGCGTCTACCTGCCGTGTCTCCAGAACATCTTTGGTGTCATTCTATTCCTCAGACTGACATGGATTGTGGGAATGGCAGGCATCATACAGTCCCTCCTGATTGTCCTTATGTGCTGTTCTTGTGTTAGTATGCACACACACTGAACACAGATACTGTTTCACACTAAAGTACTTATACCACCAATAGGGTCCTACATTTAGCATTTATTTATTTCTTTATTCATAAAACACTCACAACTTTGATGGTCAACTGTATGTGCATTCTGCGTAATATTCATGAAATTTTCTTGTTTCCGTTGAAGACTATGCTGACAGCCATATCTATGAGTGCCATTGCCACTAACGGTGTTGTTCCAGGTAAATGTCTGAGCCTTGATATTTTTTCTTTGTTCCTGTCAGACACGTAGAATTCTGCAAATGTGAGGAGACTTTATTATGACATAAAAGTTGTTCTTATATAGATGAGTTATTTCCCATACACACTGCAGTGTGGATCTTTTAGTCTCTGCTGTACTCTTATGTATAGAAATTTGCTGTTAATTATTTGCCTGAAATTTGATCTTGTGTTTTATAGCCGGAGGGGCATATTTCATGATTTCACGTTCACTCGGCCCTGAGTTTGGAGGAGCTGTGGGACTGTGTTTCTACTTGGGTACCACTTTTGCGTCTGCAATGTATATACTGGGAGCCATAGAAATCTTTTTGGTAATTCAAAAATAATTATCTTATATGACGTGTTTTATTTTAATGAAACCTACATAAAAAAGCATATGCATAATGCATATGCATAATTATAGATTTTCATTTGAATTTTCTAAAACAAGACATCATTTGAAAATGGTTTGCTGAATTTAACAGTTTATATTTAATACAAATGAAGATAATTCAATATATTAGTATATACCATGATTATCAAATAAACTGATGTCAGCAGCAAACTATAAAATGGGTCACACAATTTGTATAATCAACTCTGAGAGGCATAAAGAAAATTGATGGATGAATTTGTATTATTATAAATTGAAGTTAAAAGGGACAGGTGTGCATTCGGGTCCATTGTGTGCATCCATTAAAAATAATCCTGTATAGATCCAATGTGGAATAATTGTTTCATACTAATTTTTCCCTCCTCAGAAATATCTGGTGCCTCAGGCAGCCATCTTTCATGCCACAGAGCATCTCGGCAGTGACAGTGCTTTGCTGAACAACATGCGAGTCTACGGATCTTTATGCCTCAGCTTGATGGCTGTTGTGGTTTTCGTAGGAGTCAAATATGTCAACAAGCTGGCCTCCCTTTTTCTGGCCTGTGTCATTATCTCAATCGTTTCTATCTATGCTGGAGCAATCAAATCCATGACTCATCCGCCAGAATTCCCGTAAGTGCTGTAAAAATGTGCTCAGAAAGAATTTGATGTTAATTATGAGGAACATTTATAAAGAATTAGTTTTTTCTTTAGACAAGAGAGGGCACACCATGCTTTTTAAATGTTATTTTTTTATGTATATTTCTCTTTTCCTTTGAATTATTTGACCTCCCATCTGTAACTAAAGACTTGTCTACAGACAAAGTCATCATAAATCATTCTATGACAATAGGAGGCATGTGTGGAAATAACTCTGATTACTGTTTGTTACAATAATAAATAGGAGTCATTTGATGATGATTAGAACTCGATTGAAAGGGAAATGACTGTGATTAATGGCTTAATGATTTCAGTTTATGTCCACATTATCACTGTAGGATCTGCATGCTGGGGAACAGGACTTTGGTGAGAGATCGTTTCGATGTGTGTGCTAAAACTGTAATAAGAGAGAACATTACAGTGCCAAGTATGCTCTGGGAAAGGTTCTGCCCGCTGGGGAACATGAGCAGTGCTCAGTGTGAAGACTACTTTGTCCAGAACAATGTGACAGAGATACAGGGCATCCCTGGACTGGGCAGTGGGATCATCAGAGGTAAATCTGACAAGAATCTTAAATACAATACAATTATAAATGTTGCATATATTACAGTTATGGCTTTTTTACCCCCTACAACTACATTGTATTGATTATATAAAATCCATCTTTATGAAGTGTCATATCTATGTGCTTGTTAAAATCAATACACTGAAGTCTAGCCATGTTCTGAAATATTGTTTCTCACAGAGAGATATGTAAACTGATTAGGCCCACTGTTTACTGTACAAATGTGTTACTTCTAACAGAAAACATGTGGGGCAACTATCTGCAGAAAGGGGAGATCGTTGAGAAGGCAGGGCTGCCATCAGTGGACGCCCACAGTAACATGGAGAACTTTATTAATTATGTGTCAGCGGACATTGCTACATCCTTCACACTTCTTGTGGGGATCTTCTTCCCATCTGCCACAGGTATGACAGTGGTACAAAATTTGTTCTTATGTTTTTATTACGCTACCCTAAATCTAAACGTATATTTCTATGAATATATAATCCATTAAAACCAAAATAGCCACATAATGAAGCTATGAACTGTTCTCTTCATTTTGGAGAGAAGAAACAGTGTTTATGGACATGAGTAGGACACTTTTAAAAATTCTGCAATTCAGCCACTAGGGGGCAGTACTTAACACTTTTCATGTTCCTGTCATGTTTGCTTTTCTTTTTGCAGGTATTATGGCAGGCTCCAACAGATCTGGTGATCTCAGGGATGCCCAGAAGTCCATCCCGGTGGGGACTATTTTAGCTATAACCACTACTTCACTTGTTTGTATCCTGTCTTTTTGTAATAGCACATTACTCATGTGAATCTAGTCACTGCAAACATTGTATTAATCCAGATTCATACAACACATTTGTGTCACGTTGAGGCCCTTGATCTTCTGTGCTCAGATATAAGTTCTGTGGTCCTGTTTGGCTCTTGTATCGAAGGTGTAGTCCTGAGGGACAAGTAAGTTGTAATGTTTCCCTCTCAATTATTTGATATATTTACATGAGAACATATCCTTACAACTATGGACAAGTAAAATGACTTGATTACATGAGACAATCATCATCAATTAGTATTTACCTGCAGGTTTGGAGATGCTGTTCGAAAGAACCTTGTTGTGGGTACGCTCTCTTGGCCATCTCCATGGGTTATTGTCATTGGGTCCTTCTTCTCTACTGTTGGGGCAGGTCTACAATCCCTTACTGGTGCTCCACGACTTCTACAAGCAATCGCAAAGGACAACATAATTCCCTTTCTTAGGGTGGGATAGTAGAAACTGTTTATATTCCAGATTGTTGTGCCTGAAAAGAAAAGACTGTAAATATTACATACATATATATGAGTTTATATATTTATGGAAAATTACATGCAAATGTATTGGATACATAACTAAGTTAAACAAGCAGTGATTTGCATTGACGCCTGAAGGTTTTGAATTTTTGTGATAGGTGTTTGGTCATGGAAAATCCAATGGAGAGCCTACATGGGCACTGCTGCTGACTGGTCTCATAGCTGAGCTGGGGATCCTTATTGCTTCACTTGACATGGTTGCTCCCATCCTTTCCATGTAAGCTATCATGGTGTTCACATGCCAGATGAATCAATCATAAATAATCCAGTTAGCTTTTACTGTGCAAAGCAGATCATTTCTCTGTCATCCACACACTCAAATTTATTACTCATATTCTCTCACATGGGTATTTCTACATTATATACTATAATGGAGGCCTACATTTTTGTTACTTTCTTTTTCGACAGGTTCTTCTTGATGTGCTATCTCTTTGTAAATTTAGCCTGTGCAGTCCAGACCCTTTTACGGACACCTAACTGGAGACCTAGGTTCAAATATTACCACTGGTGAGTAAAGTTGTTGGATCTTTATGCTTTGTAGTATGATAACACCTTTCCATTCTTTTTCCAGCAACAATGTTGTTGAAGTTGTTCTATACAAACATAATTTGAAGATGTATCAAACCCACAGGGCTTTGTCGTTCCTTGGCATGAGTATGTGTTTGGCTCTCATGTTCATATCCTCGTGGTACTATGCCATAGTGGCCATGGGCATTGCTGGGATGATTTACAAATACATTGAGTACCAGGGGTATGTATAGTTTAGATATCTTACCACAACATATTCTTTTAAGTGGATTTGTATCTTTCAGACCTTGCATAAGTATATTTTAGGCTTGTTTAATACCAATTAACCCAAATATATTTGTTTGTTGACTCAAAAAAACAGAGCAGAGAAGGAGTGGGGAGATGGCATAAGAGGACTATCCCTTAGCGCTGCACGGTATGCCCTGCTACGACTCGAAGTTGGACCACCACACACCAAGAACTGGAGGTATGGCTGCTCTAATGGGGGATAAAAAATCTGCCTTGAGAAAAATCTGGGATCAATTATCCCTAAATGTTACACACTGTGCCTTATGTTATGAAATTAATTGCAACTCTGGTATTTAAGACTTAATGGCAGCCACTTAAAATCTAATTGAAACAGAAAGTTGACCTTAAGCTCTATAAAAGTCAGGAGAACCCCATTCAACATCAACAATGTCATTATAAATTTCTCCTAACAACTATTGTGTAAGCTCACTGCAGAGTCATCTGTAGTTAATTTGTAGAACATGGAGGAGGTTGAACAGTTTCTACTTTTTTGGGAGGCATTGTGTTGGTTTAGAAGTCCCAGGACTTTAATTTGACTCAATACAATATTCACACTGATGTAGTGTTTCTTCAATACTAACTGAGTAGCTCATCATCTTTACATTTCTAAATGTAGAGCAAAAAATGAAAGCAGACAACATGCAGATAAGAGGGAAACACAACAGCTCAGCGGTAAATTGGTCCAACCTGACATAAACCGGCAAGCTAACATTTTTTACAGGCATACAATTATTTACCTCAAAATTGATTTGATCAAATTCTCCTTGAAAAATAATTTGAAAACACTGCATTTACCCCAAACTTACTTATTATTGTGGTATATTATATGTTTTAAAAATTTAAAAACACCCCTAATTTAGTTGTGCAGGAATCATTTCGAATTGAGCAATCTGGGAAATAGAAAACACAGTTGAGAGTTTATGGATTACTTAGAGGCCATGGTTCAGCAGTCAAAATTGATTAAACAACAGGCGTGATGTCTACACTAGTGTAGGATGGATGGATAACAATGGAGTCCAGTAACAATCAAATCTTTTCTCCTCCCACATTGATAGTGACCTGTCTGCTTTATAGGACCAACATTCTTTTTATCCTCGCCATAAGTGCAGTTACAACACTCACAGTAAATGATGTCTTAAAACATTACCTGTAATAATTTTTCATCGTTTGACTATGAAAGCAAAGGCCTGTTTTTCTACAAGTAAAATAGTCTGTGTTCTGTACAGGCCTCAGTTGCTCGTACTGTTGAAGCTGGATGAGGACCTCCATGTCAAATATCCCCGACTACTCACCTTTGCCTCGCAACTGAAAGCTGGAAAGGGCCTGACCATAGTTGGTTCAGTCATCCAGGGTAACTTCCTAGACAGCTTTGGGGAACTGCAGGCAGCTGAACAGGTAAACCCTGACACTCTCTCTTTAACAGTCCGGCTAACTATTCTGCAACTGGTTGTTGCATAGAAAAAACCTCTGTAATAAAAAAAACACAATGAGGCTAATAAATGTGCTAAAGTAGCTACAATTTGCCTTGAAATGTTTTGAATTCATTCTTGGTCCAAATATTGCATACTATTAATCAAATAGCCTGAATTCATAAGCTTATTGTGAGCAGAGCAAGCCAGTAGAAATGCAAAGGAATAAGTCAATGTCTTTTTGTAAATCAAACACTTTTTAGCTGGTATATCATGTCTATGTTTTGCCTTTTGATCATTCATTGTGATTATCTACTAACATTGAATTTGGCCGTGCTGTTTCCTCCAGGCCATTAAGAACATGATGGAGATTGAGCGGGTCAAAGGTTTCTGCCAGGTGGTGGTGGCAACAAAAGTGCGGGAAGGCATTGTCCACCTGATCCAGTCCTGTGGTCTGGGTGGGATGAAGCACAACACCGTGGTGATGGGCTGGCCGTACGGCTGGAGACAGAGTGAGGATCCTCGAGCCTGGAAGACCTTCATTAGTAAGTTTCCTGGTGGAAAAACTCATTCCAGAGTATGACAGTGAAACAGAATAACCAGTATCATTGCTATCTTATTTCGAATGACATTTTATAAATGCTCTTCATCCACCATTTTGTTAACTTTCAATAGTTGCAAGTGGCACTTTAAGCGACTATAGAATTATTTTACTGCCCATATGTTTATGTCACGGCCAGCATGCTTTCATCTCTACCCAGACACAGTCCGCTGCACCACAGCTGCTCACCTTGCCCTGATGGTTCCCAAAAATGTGTCGTTCTATCCAAGCAACCATGAACGCTTCACAGATGGCAACATTGATGTGTGGTGGATCGTCCATGATGGAGGGATGTTAATGCTCCTGCCTTTCCTGCTCAAACTGCACAAGGTAAAGGAGCTCACCATATGCACATGTTGAAGCTTTTAAAGATTTTACCGATACTCAAGCTTTGTAGTACTGCTGCTTCTTGAATAGAGACGGAGGCTTTTTTTTCAGGTTAAAATAAAAATCTACATTCTTTTGTTGAGTATTCGTTGAAAGTTTTAGTTTAGTGTTTTTCTTCCTTTATTTTTCTCCTTGTCTTTGCTTCCTTTTAGTTTTACTGCCCACATTATATGGTTTACTTCTGCTAGTGATTATGTTCACAACATCTTAAGCTACTTGGAACACTGCCATGTTTTAGGTCTGGAGGAAATGCAAAATGCGCATATTCACTGTGGCCCAGATGGATGACAACAGCATCCAGATGAAGAAAGATCTTGCCACGTTCCTTTATCAGTTGAGAATCGAAGCTGAGGTGGAGGTTGTGGAAATGGTGAGGATTTTTCTTAAATCATTACTGACTTGGGAAAGTGTGAAAACCAATAATAGCCTTTTATAGGTTGACAGTAAACAAAGAGGTTCATTGCGGATCAGAAATACTCCCTTCCCCCCTTAAATGAAGACTTACAACTAAATCCAGATTTTCAACACTGCAACAAGCAATTATGTTGTTTACAACATTCAGTTATGCTGACTAAAAAACAACAAAATATTGTTTTTTTAAATCACTGCTAAGCTGGAATTTTTAAAATGTGTGAAACACCACACACACGACACCAAGTTTAAAATATGTTTCATTTTAAATTCACTGCCTGTTTCATGTCTTTCATATGAAATTCCAGCATGACAGCGACATCTCGGCATACACCTATGAGCGGACATTAATGATGGAGCAGAGATCCCAGATGTTAAGACAAATGAGGCTATCCAGTGCAGAAAGACAAAGAGAGGTTTGTTGGATTCTTGCTGAATATGTTTCATCTTGAAAATCCATCTTTGGATATAAAGCGGTGGAGGTGGTGTCGATACATGGCCCTCTTTACGTTCAACAAGTCAAATATTTGTAATTATTTAGGCATTCTAACACATGGTTCGTTGTTGACTGAGCCATATGACATTCTCCTGGCACCTGCAGGCCCAACTGATTAAAGACAGACACTCGTTGGTACGCATGGGCAGTTTGTACTCAGATGAGGAGGAGGAAGTGGTGGAGATCCCTCCGGCAAAGGTTCAGATGACATGGACCAGAGAGAGGTGTGAGGCAGAAAAGAGAAACAGAAACAATGCTCCTGAGAACTTCAGAGAACTCATGAGCCTCAAACCGTGAGTTAATTAAGTAAATCTTCTGCTGTGTTTCTATTACTGTTGAATGTTAAAGTTTAAAACTTGAATGCCCCTCTGCTAGATACAACAAAAATATGTACTTTCATATTGTGTGAATATTTATGTAATAGCATCAACAGTGTAATCCCTTTGCTGGTTCCCAGAGATCAGTCCAATGTACGACGAATGCATACAGCTGTGAAGCTGAATGAAGTAATAGTCAATAGGTCCCACGACGCTCGACTAGTGTTGTTAAACATGCCAGGACCCCCTCGCAACTCAGATGGAGATGAAAACTGTATCCTTTTCCTCAACAAAATTGATTTGGGCTACAGTCAGCATTGAACATTTTGAAAATGTCTTGACCCCCTTTACTTGTGGCTCAGATATGGAGTTTTTGGAGGTGTTGACTGAGGGTTTGGAGAGAGTGCTGCTGGTGAGAGGAGGTGGGCGGGAGGTCATCACTATCTACTCATGACCTTACAGCTGCTATGTTTTGGCTTTGGCAACATCAGAAGACATTCCTCCTCTGGAAATGAGGCACTAACTGATTTGCTTTCAAACTGTTCTGAGTAAATGCGAAAAATGTGTAACTTTTTGTGTCAACTTTTGAATGCAAAAGAGGATAAGTCTATTTTTGTAGAATATAGGCACACAAGTGTACATATCTACCTGTTTACTCATTACAAATGGAAAATGTAACCATATTCTTTAGAATTCCGTGCCTGCTTGTCAAACACAATCTTAATATAAGCATTTTTTTATGTATAGGTAAAGTATAAAATAATAAATCTATCATTGAGAATGGAACTGTCTGAAGCAAAACCTCTCCAGTCTCACTTTAGAATGTGCAGAATATGTATGTCCACAACACATAAACTAGTAGTAGTCAGACAAAGGCTTTAAAAAGGAGAGATTGCAGCTTTTAATGTTGGGGATTTTCTTTAATGCAGTGTCCCAAATTATTTTAATTTTGTCCTACTTAGACATAGCAAATTTTCTAATAAGTCCAAATTTGAAAGCTGGAAAATCTAATTAAAGAAATGTCTGGCTGGATGGACTCTAACTTAAGTCTGTTATATGTGAGTTCACTAGTACCACCAATTAGGCCATGGCTCATTTAAGTCGAAGTGGTTGTTTCATCTTAGTTTTGCATAATCGAAACGCACATATAAAATTATTTTGAAGCCTTAAAATGTAACATCTTTTAGGCCTTTTGATTGATTGATGAATACTTTAATGATCTCACAAACTGTTTTAGAAAAACTACTGTATTTCATTCTTTTCATCAACATTACTTTCACATTTTATATACTGAAACTATATCCTGTTTGAAAAGCTGCATTAGTTTGCCAGACCTAGATTATACAGCTGATTATTTTTCAAGGCACAGTTTTATTTAATATTTATATTGTTATTTATTGTCTCCACATTTTCCCATTGTGGCTATAGACAGTGTTACTGAATGTATGGACCACAGTACATTACATTGGATGTACTGACACATTATTCAGTTTGTAAATCTGGATGCAAGTCTTAAATTTATTTTTATTAGCTGATGTTTTTTTATTAGGAAGAGTTCATTTTTAGATTTGTATCACTTAAAATTATGTAAAATTAAACTTTTTCCACACTCATATAAATCTGAAACTTTATCCATAACTAAAGCTACTACCACATTAATCCCAGATACCTGTTCAGTTATATCAGAGCTTAATCTGACAATAAAAAGCATTTTGGGCTAGTAAATGTTTCATGGTGCATCTGTCTTTTTGTTTGAGTGTACATTTGTGCCTATATGATTTTGGATAAAAGAGTCAATGAGAAGATATTGTCCATCTGCACAATTTCAGAACTACATGTATGGTAGGAGGTTGGCTTGCCTTCTCTCTTACATCAGTGTTAACAGGGTGACATACATATGTGTGTTATTACTCCTTACACTTTTCCCAGAATATGATTTGAAATGAAAATGAATGCAGGTATAATGAAATTTAATTGAAGATGGTAATATTTGTCTCATAACCCAGTGATTATGTACCGCACCACCACTATTGGTGCTAATTCTTACCAGAAACAAAAGTTGAAGTTAAGTTGAAAAGGTAGTCATTTTTTCCTGGTTAAGTCATGAGGGAAAAATAAATATATATTCCCATTTAATACTTTGTTGCGGTTCCTTTGCCTTTAAAATGAGCTTCCACACTCTGGTTCATAGAGCCAATGACAAGCTTTAATCCTCATTAGTCAGGACTCGGCTTCTTTTAACGTTTGCAGGCTGAAGCTTAATTTACATCAGATTGAGATAAACTCTGTTTAATGGTCATGTTACTAGGTTATGTCTGTCCAGAGAAAAAAACTGAATTAGCTTTCTTTTGTGGAAAGATGCAATATCATGAAAAATTCTATTCAGGAGTTGTAATTATGTGACATATGTATGATTTAATGTTTCTTTCCAAAAGAAAACAGCTGTTTCAACATCCTGCTAGAGAGGTGATTCCATAATCGTTGCAAAGGTATATTTGGTTTAAAATATTTCTGTCCAACCACAACAGGAAAAAGTGGTGATGGGGTGATGCTGTGTTTATTAAACTGGTATGATGTGTACACATTGGTAGGCATTTGGATTACAGTGAAAAATTAGGCCTTTTTCTTCCAATAGATCACAAAAAATATGGCGGTGCTAAACTAAGATAAATACACAGTTAATCAACAAAATTACAAGATTGCAGAAAACTGAAGCCCGGATTAGAAAACCCTGTGATTTTATCTCTGTGGGGGAGACGCTCTGCCCACGGGGCACCTGTCTTGGGTAAGGATATCTTAGATCAAGTCTGCAGGGGTTCTGCACCTCCTCTGAGGGAATCTGGAGCTCACTGGGGTAGTTTGAGCGTAACAGATCACGGACCTATAAAGAAACAGGAAAGACGAGCAGGAGGTATGAAATTATCCTATTTTTAGATGAGTCAATTACTAGACATGTTCTTTAAACTACAGCTACATAAAAAAGCAAAGACTGTTTTGGAAAAAAGGAGCTAAAATAAAAAATCTAAAAATAAAGAAAATAAGATTTCTCCACCGATAAAGTGGGGTCTGGCTCACCGCTTCAACTTCCTCAAACACCCGCAAAAAGTTCCTTCGAAGGACATCAGCCAACTGGTTGTCAGTCCAGTTTCTTTCCATGAGTTCCTCGATCAGGGCGGGGTAATTTGAGACATCCTTTAATCCCTCTGGAAAGCTACACACACCCACACACACAAAAAAATAATAATAATAAAAGGCAGAATGTGTGTGTGGGGAAAACTGTGTGTTAATACAAAATAAGAATTGAGTGTTAGCAGCTTTATACTACATATAAAGGTTTAACAATCAGCAAAATGCAGACAGTTGGAGAGTCTAGATGCTGTTATGACAAAAAAAGAGATAAACAAAAATGATCTCGTAAAACAACAGCTTTTGGTGGCAGTCGAGTGGTATTAACTCTGTTTTAAGACTCCCACATCCTGTCTACAGAATGTACAAAACTCCTACTGTAGATTTTCAGGTTGCAAGTATTAAAAATATTCTCTCCTGAGTTAGGGTTTACAGCAATATGTATTATATGTATGCAAAAGTTCATTTCTTACATTGAAGCACCGTCAAAGTCCCCACCGATTCCAATTGACTCAGTTCCAATAACGCTCTTAATGTGATCAAAATGGTCTGTTAAGGATGGTTAAAAATCACTGTCAAGTAATGCACAGCCCAGATTAAAAACTCCATAAAAGATTGATGTCTCACCAGCCACTTGAGAGATGATAGCCTCATGTTTGCAGGCAATGAATTGGCTATGGAGATTCACCATGATCAACCCTCTGTTCTTTTTCTGAGAACACAACACAGGTAAAATATTTGTAGAAGGCAAAAAGGGCCCATGCTATCTTCAAGTCTTGATAAACTGTATCTCCAGGACCATAGATGGTGAATATATATTTTAAAACTAAAAAGTAACCAATACATTACAAATCTTTTTTACATATAGTCTTTAGTGGAATAAGTAAGCAGAAGAAAGAAGTCTCATCAGATAACTTCTCAATCAAGCAATAATGGAATTAAATAAATGTCTCTGTAAATAGATTCCCTCACCAGCTTGTGCAGCAGCCAATCGGGTACATTGCGGCTGTGGTTGCAGACAGAGTAGGAGGATGAATGGCTAAAAATGACAGGAGCTTTGGTATGATTCAACACAGCTGAGGCTGTGTCCCAAGAAGTGTGAGAAAGGTCTACAATCATCCCCAGTCTGTTCATTTCGTCCACCACAGCCTGAAACACGCATTTGATAAACAAACAGCCAGTCATCTAAGTAAAATAGTCAGGAAGGAAGTCAAATTTACCAGCAACAGTATTTGGTTTCAGTCATATACATGTAAACATTCTTATGCAGATAGCTATCAAGGAAGTCTTACAATTTGAATATGTTTGTGACCGTAAAATAACATGTTGTCTCTCTTTGGAACTTTGTTGTGATAAAAGTGAAAGGATTTGCAAGAGTACAATTTGGGAATAATCTTCTAGTGTTCAATGTCAACTTTTCTTTAGCAGTCAGTGGAACAGTGAAAGCAATACTTGTTTGTTAGCTAATGCGGAAAGTACAAGAAACTGAAAGAACAAAATCATATAAAAATGCTTACTTTATTGAGCATGCTGGAGGTACACAACAAACTCCCTAACACTAATTCAACAGGTGACAGTAATGTAGATGACATGACTGAATGACTTCAGTTTACCTTTCCAAAGTGCGTAAGGCTGGTATTCCGTCTTTGAAAGACGTTGTAAAGTTTTGATGAAGATTCAGCCCTGTATTAAAGAGTATATTTTAAGTAAATATCTCTGTTAATTCGGATGACAGGGGAAAAAATAATAGAATGAAATAAATGTGAGGGAATTAAAAACATTTATATCTCTTAAGTTCAAAATGAATGACACCACCCCCTCCCCCATTACCAGGGAGTGTTGCAGGTGTGCGTGAGGCTCATGGAACGGACTCCAAGCAGGTAAAACATCCGAAGGGTGGGAAGGCTGCTGTCAATGGAGTGACCTCCCTCAATGCTTATCACACATGCTATTTTTTGCTCCTTCGCAGAGTTCTTTAGCTCTTTAAAAACAAACAGTTGCAATGTGTATGGCATTGTTAAAGATTGACATTTTCAGTCAAGTCAATAAATATGTTTTGTCAGATATACAGAATTAAGAAGACGTTTTATCAAACATGTTAAAATGCACTGCGAGTAGCTTTTCTTTAAAGCAAAAAGTAAGTCCATTGTTCAATCATGAGTGGGAGTGTACTGTACCCTGAGCAGATGTGACCAGCTCAAATTCCTTGTATTCAGTGCACATACGTCTGACCAGATCTATTTGCTCCAGAGTTAGCCTCACAGCATCCTTCTGCTGGGCCCCGCACATAACGTATACGGCAAACATCTGACAAAAGGACATAGGTGCCAAAAAAGAGGCTGGAAGAGGCTCCAAAATACAAAACACATGTTATAACAGAGTTGGAAATTCGCATGAATTTCAAACCTGTGCCTGCACATGGCCAGCTTGGAGACGGGAGATGTCAGTGGCTACTTTGCTGAGGTTATGAAGGTCAATCTGGCTCAGGCGATTTCTGTGAAGGATCCTCAGCTGGAGAGCTAAGTCGTTATGACTGGGTGAAGGCGAAGCAAAGGGAGGGAGAGAAGATGGGAAACAATTTTAGTGTGATTTCGGTAATTTATTTCCATTAATTTGTATGTTTTCTTTCTGTGTAATGGAGATAACCTATATCCGTTACCCATCAATAAGAGGATATGTGTTCATCAAGTCATGTGCCCTTTCTATTTCAGTGTTTCCTTCTATGAGGGAGTACAGGGAAAGTACCAGCAGGATCCTGAGAGACTGCACCCACAGGCTGCTTAATGGGCTTATTACTGATTTCTTGGAAAACATTTTCTGAAGAGAGAAAACCAATGACCATAACAGTGACTTAAAAGCATAGTATTTATAGCAGCATGATAAACACACAAACATTTAAATAATGTAAGAAATGTCATGAACACAATCTTGCATTCATAGCTACTTTTTAGATTAACACACCAGCAGAGTCCTTAGTTAATTGCATTCATAGCTACTTTTTAGATGAACACATCAGCAGAGTCCTTAGTTAAACTTTTTTTTAACTAACTTAACAACACTACAAATAAAGCACAATAGCATCCAATATTTGCTGGTTTAAGAAAGGACACTTTAAAAACGATTACATTATAATGTCAAGTCCATTTGTTGTCGTGTATTACAGCAATAGATAATTATTGAATTACTTCAAGTAATAAAGCAAAAACAATATTTGCGAGTACGTTTATTCAAACTAAAATAAACTTACCCGTTCGATCTTTAAAAAAAATAAAATATAGATCACCCTGCGTTGGGCAGTAGGAGACAACGCAAAGTTTCCACGACCTCGCCTTCCCAAATATGGCACTAGTTCAAAATACATGGATGGCTATGCCTTGTGATGCCTTCAAATGCAATGTGCAAAATGTGTATCTCCTTGAGCACGCTGATGTCAGGCGTTAACGTCCTAGTTAGTGAAGGGTGTTGTAAGTATTAAGAGAAATAAACATCATATTAAGTAATTCATAACGTATTTAGGTTCAAAAGTTAATTCGAAATGTGAATTTTGTCAATTTTTTTCCCCAGAAGCAATTCATTCGTTAAATTTACGTGGGACATGAGAATGCCACATAAAATCCTCACAATGTTAGGGTGCCATCTGCTGGATAATTAGAAAATAACATTTGTTCAACTATGACGGCGTCACAATTGCCCATGCCTTTTCCCCTTTTTTGCCCGTATTTTTTAAAACCATTTTTAAAACATTTTCTTTTGTAAAAAGTTAAACAAAAAATGTACCTTACACCTATTTGAAAAAAAAAAAAAACTAACAAAACTAACCCCTAAAATGGCACCCGGAAGTTCCCGTAAACTAAAATTCCCGCAAATTTAAATGTCTGCAGAAACTTTAGAAACGTTAGAGCACATAGATTATTTTTTCAAATGTATAACACATAACTAAATGTTTACTGAAAGGAAGATTTATGGAAAACACGAGCATATTGGCTCCAAAGAAGATGGTGGTAAGTTGGAAGCCATACTTTAGGAGCAGACATAATATTTACGTAAAATTACATCTGTTGGACGAATCAACGGGGGTAAATGAGGAAATCAGGTTTAAACATATTTTTGACTGAGTTTTAATTTAGAAAAGGCAGTTGCAAGGACTTACTTCAAGCTAAATGGACCCTAAACAGATCATTTAGACTTGTAAAGCCGCAAAAAAGAATGATTAGATAAATAAACAGAATAAATAAATATAATTAGTAATGTATCAACTGTGAAAAGATAGCAATGATTATTGTTATTATTATTACAATTATTATTATTATCATACATTGTTATTTTTTTATTTTCATTTCAGCTATGCTTCCTGATAATCATAAACAGACCTTCTTACTGGTGCATACATGCCTCAGGAAAAATCTACAATGCAAAGCAGAGCTCAACATTAAAAGGTAAGAGTGGATTTTTAGTTGGATTCTGAAACTCAGATTACTAAATGCTTTTTGCTGCATTGTCTTTGACATTAATTGGCTAAAGAGATCCACCATGATCAACCCTCTGTTCTTTTACTGAAAACACAACACAGGTTAAATATTTGTGGAAAGCAAACATGGCCCATGCTATTTTCAACTCTTGATAAACTGCATCTCCAGGACTATTCATGGTGAAAGCATATTAAAAAAGTAAGTAACCAATACAATGACAGCTGTTCTGTATTCGCATGAGTTTGAGTTTTTAAGTCGTTCCGGGAATGGTGAAAGCATTGACTGTTGTGTTTGGGAAGCAGTCATGAGAGCTATTTCTGGGCACCTGTTTTGTGTGACTGCATTATTTGACTGTGCACATTGTGGCAGCTATGTGTTGCATGTTTGGAAAGAGGGACGCTATCTTTTACAGCAATAGTTGTTATCTCATCTGTGGCTGCAGATTATTGCAACACCTTTGTTGTTATGCCTGATATCTTTTGTCAGGAATACTTGGCCAACATATTGAATTTCTTACTAATGGAGATTAGAGCGTAGTCTATATGCGAAAAAATAAAATTTGACTGTAAACCGTAATAGATTACCTGCAGCCTTATAAGAAATACTACTGACATGTATTTTCTAGTGAAGTATTGTATGCTCAGTGCTCATTTTATGGTCAGTTCAATTGACTCTTTGTCCTTAACAGTAGGCATGCCCAGAAAATTCCATCCTCTTTGGTTTCAACACAAAGGTCCAGATGACAACCATAGATTTTCCATGTTTTTAAACTTAAAATCATCAAGTCCCTAAAGCATTTAGGATGAAATGTGCAAATGTGTACATGTGGTGATTCATTTTTCTATTCATTTTTGAGGGAAGATGTGAAGTCTTTCTCAGTGTTCCACCCACTGAGATTTGGCCTCATCATCTGTAATGAGGAGAGTGATTCGGCTCTGATTGGAGCACCCCACCGCTTCAGTGGAGTAATCATAACTGTGTTGATATTTCTCCACCAATCCTCCTGCTGTGCAGAGTAGGACCCCAGCTGACACAGTTTGAATCCAGATTAACTAAATTATTTTGTCATATTGTCTGTTGAATGTAGCTGGCAATACAAAAGAACTCAAACTACTCGGTGTTTAAATGGCTTTACCAAAGCTGTTAATCTGGACAACTGCATGGCAGGAATAACACTGACATCCATATTTCTAAGAGTCAACAAATGATGTGATCTGGAGATGAGGAGGATTTATTTTATATTTGCTCATATGACAAATGGCTTTTCTTGACCAATGGTAAAATTATTATTATTGTATCAGGATTGGTGCACTGAAAACATGTGACCCAAGTCACAGATTTGATGGCTTAAAGTTTACCTGAACATAATAAGCAGAAAACTGTCACTGATCTACACAAAATTGTACCACAGATTCTACAAAGAGATTTTGTGACACTGGCACAAAGTGTAAGAACACCATATGAATTGGATCACTCTGTCTAAACGAACTGCATCATGTTGCTTGCAGATGCCTTTATAAAATAAAATAATAGCAAACTATTTTATGATAAATTAATGAAACACAAAGTGTGTGTCCCTTGAGGATGAAATTACAAAAGGTAAAGTGTTCTTTTTAAATAGATCAGTTAAATTACATTTTAAATGGGAGTTTATTTAATTTCAGGCTTTGGTGCTGACAGATTAGTAAAATCCCGCCTTTAATCTACTGCTTCCAGACACTCTGCGATCCATTACCGCAGCTCCCTGTGCATAGTTTAAGCTTCATTATTGTGTTTAATGATTGGTTTGTGTTCTACGTTTGCAACAAACGCGTTTTCTCTGCAATGTTTGCAGCCATTATGTGGAGTTCTTGCTTTCTCTGATGTGTCTCAGCAACTAATTCTGTGACAAAAAGAAATTATTTCATTCTTCAAACATAGGAATGGCTGTTGATTCCTTTTCTCATATACGAAATAGAATAATTGGGGCAACAATGGCAGAAGTTCTTAAACCCAAAGGCACCCATAAGAATGCAGATCCATTTTTCCTGAAAGGACAGGCAATAGAAAACTTACTGGCCCCCTAAATTCATACAAAAATATGTTGAGGTATAGTATGTTCCATTGATTGCTAAAGTAATTTTTACTAAATTTATTTAGTTTACCTGCTTCTCTCTGGGTGCCTATGGGTTAAACAATTTCCCACAAGGGATTAATAAAGTAATTCTGATTCTGATTCTGAACATATCAATCACTGGCCTGCGGGGTGAGCCTAGAAAGCCGCCTTTCCTGCTGCAGGGCTTCTGCAGATGTTTAATCTCAGAGTAAAGACTCCCACCAGTATTTTTAAAAACAAAACTGATTCATCTAAATCCATCTTATATTTATAGCTGACAACCTCCAGTTCTGCCAGATAAATCCTTAAGAAATTCTCTGGTGGTCAGTCATAAATTGATTTTTATTTATTATTTTCAGCAAGATGCATTGATTGACATTTACCAGTTTAATTAGATTAGGCATATTTACTTGTCTTTACACAGCATACTGTATAAAGTTGTACTTGTAATTTGCATAGCGACAAAGTCAATAATAAACTGTCCTCTGAGGTGAGCAAATATTGCTAATTTATCTGGACGAGCTGATGGGTGTTTGTGTGCTTGGCTGAGCGACAGCTCTCAGTATTAATTTCTCTTTTTTAACTTTGTCAACAGGCTTTAATTTGTGCTTTTCAAATGGTCATTTCTCAAAACATGCACTACATCACCTGTTTTTTACATGCATAGTGCATCCATGTGGCAGTGAATCATGCATCCTGTGTTGTTGAAATGTAGCAGCTGAAGATATGACACCAAAAAGTCCATTAAACAGCCATTCAATGGTCTTCGAAGCCTGAGGCCTCTCTGCAGTATATGAACTATTCTTCAGACTGCTCAGAGTGCTGTGATTAGCACTGGCACCACTCCCCACTTTTTTCCATAAAAAGTCTGTCCAAGACCCTGAAAAATAAGCTGTGATAGATATGCACTCTATAAAAGAATTAAAAACTGATTATAGGTTTTAGATTAGTTTGGTAATGGGAGCTCATCAGTGATGTCTAAAAAGAAGAATCTAGTGCAGGGGACCCTGAAAGGGAGTCCATCACATCAATAATCACACCTATCAGAAGGGTTTTACCTCTCATGCTGTCTTTGACTTTGATCTTTCACTAGAGGGCAGCAACAGTCAGTTTCTATCGGCTGCTTTAATCCGTGTTTGCTTTTATTTTACCAAACGAATAAAACACAGATTTAATATTCAGACCTGACAGATGCCTGCCCTTTTTCTACAAAACAACACACACACTCTCCCTATCTCTCTCTCTATCACACACACACACACACACACGCACACGCACACACACACTCACACACACACAC